AGGTATTGAGATGAGTTTTTAAAATAAAGATTTTAAAAGAAGTTTTGCACAATCGCAAGATGACAAGCGGAGGGGCCAAGATTGGCACATTGAGGACAGTAAGCAGACGCTTCTTAAAGGAATTTATGGTGCTGGTTGGAAGAGACATGTTTGTCTATTTTACTACTTTTATTCGCTCTTACACATGATAGTTGAGATTCTGCAGAAGTCTCTTTTTTGGACTATAAAGGAGTACTATAAATGACTTTAGCAAATTCATGAATTCTAAGGAGGGAAGGGGTACGAAGGAGAAAAAAAATAGGAGATTCTGTTTCTTTCATTTAGCATCGTGACACAAAAAAGGACACTCCATATGTGCATGATTTAAGAAGAGTTTTCCACTTTAAATCTGTCCTTACCCTACCCAACACAGCTCCATGAAAAAGCATATTGCTTCTATCTGAACAGCACTGAGGGATGTTGGACTTATTACACAGCTCAAATGTATTTATTCTCTCTGGGCCCGTATCCTCCCCACTCTACCCACTGCCTCTGCGCACTGGAGGATGGAATGAGTTCTGGGGAGAACTACTTCACCAGATATGGCTTTAATGTCTTCTTGCCTTTTAAGTAGGAAGCTGACAGAGTTTGGAAATTGCCAGGTAAGAAAATTCTCACTTTGGGTGTTCCTTCTTTTCTCCTTAGGATGTCCAAAGAGAGCATTCCATATCTTGTTTGACTATCATGTGGACCACAGATCTGACAGTCCATCAGAATGAATTACCCAAAATGCATTACACAAACTGTCTTCCTGGCGGCCAAGCTTCCCCATGAGGTGGACTTCGTGCAGCCAAGGAGGGGTTGGTAAAGCCAGTGAGTGCTCAGTGTGCTTGCCCTTTGAAAGCGTGTGGGCAGAGCAGTGAATAGGGAGCCAGGGTCCTCCATTCATTTATTCATTCAACAAATATATTTTGAGCACTTCCTACATGCCCAACACTTTTTCTAGCAGTCATAACTCCAAAAATCAACAAAATCCCTGTGTTTTCTAGTGGGGCAGATAGATGAGAAATACTATACACCCCACCCCCACCCCCCCCACACACACCCACACACACACATTAGATACCTTGTTATATAGTGATGGATGCTGAGGAGAAAACAAAGCAGGGAAGGGGGATGGGATGTGTGTAAGCATGAGAATCCATGTGTTTGTGAATTGTTGCAAAAAATACGTAGGGTGACCACAGAAGGCATTACTAAGAAGATGATTTTTTGAGTAAGAACCTGAAGGAAGTGAGGAAAGGAGACATAAGATTTCTGAGGCTGGAAGATTCAAAGCAGAAGGAATAGCAAGTGCAAAGGCCCTGGGGCAGGATAGTGCCTGGCCAGGTGGAAGAATAGTGAGAAGGCCAGAGTACCTAGAGAAAAGTAAGTTGGGGGTGAAACGTAAGAGAAGAGGCTGGAGCGGCCACAACAGGAGTCAAATCATTCATGGTACAGATAAGGACTTTGGTTCTTACCCTTAGAGAGATGGTAGCTACTGAAAGGTTTTGAATGGAGGAGGGGCCTGATCTCCATTTTAAGTGGACTATGTTGAGAATAAACAGAAGGGGGAAAGGGCAAAAGCAGAAAGATAAGTTAGAAGACAAGTACAACAATGCGACTGAATTTGTCAGGGAAATGAGTAGCAGCTTATAGGGTGTTTAAGGTCTGTAACATATCCTTTACAAACTGGGTTTCAACCACCAGAGCCAAAAATTGCCTAAGCACTTCTCTGTTTACCCAGAATCAGGCTGGCACAGAAAAGCTGGTGGAAAATTGTTCCAAGCGCAAGTGCACAAAACGGCGAGCTTCCCCCTTCTTGGCACAGGTCTCCCGTAAAGAATTCTTAGGTTTACTTTGTTGGCATTTGTGGTTCTTTCCTCTAACTGCTTCAAAAAAACCCCCGCAGCCTGCATTTCCTTTCTCACTTTCTTACTAAAACAGCAATTGACATTTATTTAGGAGCTTTGCCCATTCTAACAATTAAAGCTTATAGGAAATTAAACAACCCTCTCATAGACTAGAGTGGGTCCTGGAATAGAAAATAGGCATTAGTAAAAACATTTAACCTTGGTGAAATCCGAATAAAGTCTGTGCTTTAGGTAATCGTATTTTAACAATGTTAGTTCCAAGGTACAAACACATGATGTTGACATTAGAAGAAGTGAGGTGAAGGGTATATGCGAACTTTCGGCACTATCTTTGCAACTTTTCTGTAGATTTATTAAAAAATAAAACAATTATTATTTTTACAAGCCCTCTCAAAGGGAAAAGAAAACACAAGCGTAAAAAAAAAGTGAAAGAAATTTTGTCAGAGATCATTTAGTAATTTTTGTCCACAATTAAACAGAAGGTGTAATTACCCAGTGTATAGTTAGGAAACATTCTTTCTTTTTCATTATTTCATTTAGATTAAGCTGCATTTCAAACGCTTCACTTACCTCCTGAATTAAAGGCATATGTATTACATTCACTCTTAGGGATCTATTTTGCTTAGAAAATAGATATTTTTCAAAACGATTTATCAGCGAAAACCCTTGTCACTTGTTCATTTCCTTTCTTTCTGCCTCCCTCCAAACCCTACCTTCACTCTTCATTCTTGCTCTGCAGCATGCCTTCACTACACAAATGCCACTGAACACGATGGTCCTTGACCTAGACCCCTATTTTCTTCTTTCCTTTAACCTAAGTATGTCCTTTCTTTGTTTGCTGTTCTGAAGCACTGAGGAAAGAAATTTGCCATCTTGTTAAGAGAAAAAATCTGATCTTCTCAATGTCTGATTGTTTAGACCAGGAATGAGGAATGCAAATGTCCCTCCGGCCACACAAGCCTTGTAAAAGGTGTGCGGCAGTCTAGAGTAATGGGTAAAAATACTCTGGCATAGCCTACTTGGCCCTAAGATGGGGTCTTATTTTGATTATTCCTGGGAAGTTGTGTCTTTTCTAGAACCTCAATGGGAGCTTGAATCTATTTCCAAGCACGGTGCTTCAGAAATACCCGTTATAGTTTAGTCATGTAATGTGGGAAAATGTGGCCAACTGCGTGCAGTTTGAAGTAGTAAACAGGTAGGAATAAACATTTTTGTTTCTATATCAAGTGGAGCAAAGATTGATGAAAGTTAAATGCAGCTGCAAATCACACAATAATACTGTGAAGTCTTCAGGAGTATTTCTTGGTCACTAAGGCAGGACTGCATTTAAATTATCACAGAAAGATGACAGGCGTGACTTTAACCATAAAGCTCTAGGAAGGAACTCAGCTGCTTACTGGGTAACAAATTCCTATGTCTTATGATGCATTAGCTTAAGAAAGTTCTTTCTAGAGCGTACTTTCAATTTCCACTGTTGTAAATTAAGCCCACGATAAATAGCTAAATGAATACCGGCAGATTAATATTACTAATGTTCCAGGGAAACTCTAATGAAATGTTTAAGATGCAAAGGATTAGGCCAAATTACTAACTGATTTAAGCAGCCAGTATCAGGGCCACGTGCACATACAAAAGCCCAACCGGCGTGGGTTAGTGGTTGAGTGTCAGGACACATGCCTGGGTTGCAGGCTCAATCCCCAGTGTGAGGTGTGCAGGAGGCAGCCAATCAATGATTCTCTCTCATCATTGGTGTTTCTATCTCTCCCCTCCTCTCTGAAATCAATAAAAATATATTATAAAAAAAGTAGGAGATGGAGCATGTGGAGATGGCCTCCACTCATTCATGTCCGGAGATCTGACAGGTAAAGAATGACATCTTTCTGGACCCTCTCAGCCAAACAAACAACACACACATAACTTGCTGAATACATTTTCTACAGGAGCTGGGACACTCCACAGTACCGGCGCCTCTCCTACGATGCCCCAGCCACCTGTTTCAGAGCTCGACCAAGCCACAGACATTAACCAGACAAAGGCATGCCCTCCCCACACCACCAAACCACCAAGGGTGGTGCTGAAAAGGTTCGTGTGCAACAGTCAACTCCTGCCTTCGGAAAGCATCGCGGCCAGCCCGCACTTCCCCCATAACCTTCTGCTAACAGCAGATTAGGCTGCTGGGATAAGTCCACCCTATCCAATGTCAGTTCTTGCTTGACACACTCTATTCTATGGGGAAAAGGCTATAGTCACAGGATGGAACAGAAGTGAACCAGCACAATAGCCCTTTTATGCCCAAAGATGGATATTTAAAGCGTTCGGAGGAGGAAAGGTTAGTGCTTATTTAAGGAACAAACGGGGCTCCCGCGCATGTCACAGTGCCGGTGTAAGGGAAATGCATTTCCTCACGATTCTGCAGAGCACAGCGGGGTAGGAAAAAAGCCAAGCCCTTCTGTCATCTGTCCTTGCTTATACACACGGGAGCAAGGCTGAGCCTGGGGGACTGTGAGGGATGTTATCACGGACATCAGGTCACCCTTATTGATGCAAGAGCATGACAGGCATGTTCATTCTCTACAGGCTCTCATGGTCATCTCACTAACCTCAAATAAAAATATTTTTCAGGTATATGAAAAATTCACTTGGGGGGTCAACAGTGGCCAAGAATTTTTAGGTGGAGCTATAGGGGCTGAGGGCTGAATGCTCACCCTTCACAATTTCTAAAAAGGTTGAACATTGCCCTAACCGGTTTGGCTCAGTGGATAGAGCATTGGCCTGTAGACTGAAGGGTCCTGGGTTCGATTCTGGTCAAGGGCATATACCTTGGTTGTGCACACTCCCAGTGGGGAGTGTGCAGGAGGCAGCTGATTGATGTTTCTCTCTCATGGATGTTTCTAGCTCTCTATCCCTCTCCCGTCCTCTCTGTAAAAAAATCAATAAAATATATATTTTTAAAAAAGGTTGAATATTCCTCTAGCCAAGGTGACTTAAGCTAATGTGACTTTCCTGCTGGGCAAAGGAGTGAGGGTTTCAGCAGCCCCTCCCACCTCCTGAGGCTGGGAGAGAAGGATGCACTAAAGCAAGAGCAGGGTTCGCACAGGCACTCCTCACCTCTCCCCAGGCAGCAGGTGGGGGCTCCACGGGAGGGTAGTACTTGGGCACATCCCAGGCCACAGCCGCCATGAACCACTTGAAGTCCTTGCACTTGAGCTGTTTGCGCAACTCCTTCTGGGCGGAGATGTCCCCCGTGGAGAGGTGCCTGTACTCCGGCCGGCGCTGGTAAATGTACTCGGCAAATTCGTCCATCCAGGTCTCCGCCACCCGCTTCAGGTTCTGTGCAGCAGAAAAGATGGTCATTTATTGGTCTATGCACTCAAAGGCTGAGCTCAGTTGCACTAGAAGTTGAAGAGAGAAAAGGGAAAGAAATCATACAGCCTCAGGCAGCTCCTGTTGGTGGCTTATTAACAACGCGTTTTCAAAACTGCATGGGGGGTGATGTGATTAGCCCAAGGCTTTGCATACATTCCCGCTCTGGCATGGGGGTCAGTTGCCAATCAGATAATTCATCGGAGCCAGTAAAAATTCAGTTTACAATTGTATCAACTTTCTCATCCCTCCCGTTACTTCATAATTATAAAAATTCTTTATTTTTCACATAGAATGAAGGCAGGTGAAACTGGAGATAATGAAGTTTCTCTTAGGCATCACTTTGCTTAAAGCATTTCAAGGAACAGTCAGAGATTTTGCTTAGAAAAAGGACAAACAAGCTGATAACCACTACAGAGAGAAGGCAGCATCGCTCAATGCAAGGCCAGGTGTTCTGATGATACGTTCTATGTGTGACAGGATGCCAGGCAGAATCTAGTAAATTACTGCACAATGAAGCCGGGCGAAGGGAAGCGCCAAGTACCTACTCTTCTTCACTGGGGTGAAGGAAGGTTGGGGGGGAGGATAAGCACCCCGTGTAGGGGCAGGAGTGTGTGTGCATTCAGGGTAAGAAGCTCAGCCCTTTGGTCAGTTTTGAGATTGAGCGAGTTATTTGACTCCAGGCCTCAGATTCCTCACTTAAAGAAAGTACACAGAGTGAGCTGCACCTACATCATGGGAGTGGTCATAGGATTAAATAAAGTAACCTGTAAAGTGCTCAGAATAGTACCTGGCACACAGTAGGTATTATGAATAGTAATCAGAGAGCCTGGGTACCGGGCTTGGCCGCAGCTGAACTGCGCTGTTCCTGTGTCTGTGGGAAGGGCGTTAGCTGAGATGAGATGCTCTCTGCCATTCCTTCAGCTCTCTGATGCTACGTGGCAGAGAAAGCAACCGCATTGTCTTGAAGAGATGAGGTCTCATGCCTCCAGCTTGCAGCACAGTTTCAGAGGCTGGTGTCCCATAGGCTATGGTTCTCTTTGTTTTGTGTTCAAATTCCTTCACTTAAGTATCCAGTTGGTGTGAACATTGACCCTTTCCAGGTTTTCATTTGCATTAGAAGATAAAATGAACAGAATAGCTGGGAACTTTAAGAAGATCCCGACACGTGTAAAAGTAAAGTAAAAACCAGTGATATTTTGTGCTAGCTGGTTTGGCTCAGTGGATAGAGCGTTGGCCTGTGGACCAAAGAGTCCCTGGTTTGATTCCGGTCAAGGGCACTTACCATGGTTGCAGACTCTTCCCCAGCCCGGGCCCCAGGGTGTGTGTGCTGGAGGCAACAAATCTATGTGTTTCTCTGACATTGATGTTTCTCTCTGTCTTTCCCTCTCTCTTCCACTCTCTCTAAAAAGTCAATGGAAAAATATCCTTGGGTGAGGATTAACAAAAACAAACAAAACTAGTGACATTTAGGAAAATCACTTTATCTTAAAAATTGCTACAAAATTCTGATTAAGGCCTGGAACTATGTCCAGGGGTCTGCTGGATTTGGAGACACAGTCTTCAAATATTTTATTCCTAATGGGATCATTTACTTTTCTTGTTCTGTCCTGCCAACCCCACATTCAGCATCTCCTTGGGCCTCTCCCCAATCTGACCTCCTCGCCCCCTCATGGATTCCTTGGTTAGTTATGACCAATGGTGGTCACAAAGTGGGGCTCAATTAATACAGCAAGATGCAGAAAAGAGACAATGCTATAAAGACTATTCTGATTTCTTGGTTGTCTCTGTGTCCCTTTTTTTTCTAATATTCCTGCATCAAAAGTATGACTTGTTCTTCAATGAATTATTTGCCATTGTTGTGCTGCCTACCATCCCATTGGCATTGCCTTATCTATAACACTTCCCACTCCCCTGCTTATACACTGTCCATGTGAATGGCCAAATAATATCATTCTGAAGTCATTATTCTGGAAATAACAATACTTCTGCACAAAAAAACTAACCACAAATAAAATAAAAAGGAAGCCAACTGAATGGGAGAACATATTTGGCAATGATACATCTAATAAGGGGTAATTTCTAAGATATATAAGGAATTCATACAACTTAACAAAAGTAAGACAAAGAATCCAATTTAAAAAATGGGCAAAGGACCTAAATAGACATACAAATGGCCAAAGGACCTGAAAAAATGCTCAAAGTCACTCATCATCAGAGAGATGCAAGTTAAAATGCCAATGAGGCATCACCTCACACCTGTCAGAATGGCTACCATCAACAAATCAACAAATGACAAATGCTGGCAAGGATATGAAAAAAAGGGAACCCTAGTACACTGCTGGTGGGAATGCAAACTGGTGCAGCCACTGTGAAAAACAGTATGGATTTTACTAAAAAAAATTAAATATGGAACTGTCATTTGACCCAACCAAAATAGATTTAGAGACATAGAAGCATGGAACAGATTGACAAATCTCAGAGGGAAGGTGTGGGTGGGTGTGGATGGGTAAGGAGAGATTAACAAAAGAACTTATATGCATAACCCATGGACACAGACAATTATGTGGTGAAGGCTTGGGGGGAGGAAGATGTGGGGTGGAAGGGGTCAAAGGGAGAAAAGGGGGGATTATGTAAAACTTTCAACAATAAAGATAAATGAAAACACACACACACATATATAAAAAACCCCCAATACACTATGTTAATTTGCCACTGTTATCATGAATCAGCATTTTGTTTTTGGGAGAACATTGGAACCACAGCTGAGAAATATTACAAGCAGTTACAAGAAGAGTTTCCTGTGTCTTTTCTTAATTATAGAATAAAGTCATCCACTCCAGGAAATAGCATAGTCATATACACATTTGAGTTCACTGGCATCTTTACATAGGAACACATATACACACATTCAAATATATGGAGGCAACAGGGTAGGGGCAAAGCTATATTCTTCACTTAAACATTCATAGCTGTGTACACATTTAAAGAATCATGCAACTGAGACATCCCAATAATATCTCTTGCTAGAGGTGGTAAAAATCCTATATAATAAAAGACTAATATTCTAAGTGTCTGGTCGTCCGTTCAACCAATCAAAGTGCAATATGCTAATGATATGCTAAGGCCGCTCAACTACTCACTATGATGTGCACTGACCATCAGGGGGAAGATGTTTCGACCGGTAGGTTAGCTTGCTGCTAGGGTCTGGCCAATCGGGACTGAGTGAGGAGAGGGCCTAAGCCATCAGTCAGACAGCCCCTGAGGGTTCCTGGACTGTGTTTCTTTAACCATAGTTTCTGCTGCTTCAATGCCCTTCTCCCTCCTGTTCCTCTAATTGCCACCACTCTGAAACTCTCTCCTTAGTACTCCCAATTAGAGTTGCCAGATAAAATGTGGGGCACAAAGTCAAAGTTGAATTTCCAATGAACAACAAATAATTATTAACTATAAGTATAATTAATACATGTATTACTATCCTCTGTGTTAAATCAATTAAGCAAGCAGGCCTCTAGATGGAGGTGGCTAATACCATGGCGGCATATCTACACAATCCAAAATCTAAGCCTGCAAATGTCTCAAAATCAACACACTCATGACAACCAATCACAAACAGCCAAGTAGGCGTAGCCAAGCAAATAATTTCTTTTCTTTACTTAACTTTAAAGTTTAAATAAACTTTAAACATTTTAAATATGCCTCAGTTGATCTTTTAACACATGGCACATACTTATCCTGAAAAAATTATTTGCTTATCTGAAATTCAAATTTAGCTGGGTGTCCTATATTTTTGTTTGCTAAACCTGGCAACCCTATTTCCGATATCCATAAAATGGATAGAATGTGTGCTCCATGAATGTGTTTGACTGTATATGTAGAATCTGGCATATTTTGTTGCTGTTGCCAATACATAGTGAATATTTTCTTCTGTGGAAAATATTCCAGGGAAGTTTCAAGCGCTCTGCAGAGAAGTTGGCTATAACACACAGTTGATCTAAATCTGCTGCCCCCAATCCCACTGCTTTTCTGTTGCTCCCCGGTGGGACCCTGCTGGCCTCCTATCAGTGAAGCAAGCAGGGAAGCAGCCGTATCGTTTAAGATAACAGCAGTGCTAAGTGAGCTGGAGGCCAGGGCTCAGCATGGCTAGAGGGGACAATGTAGGGCTTACTGTTCACATCAGTCTGAAAATAAGGTGAAGGCTTTCTGTCTCTGCACATCTGGGCTGGATTCCACTCAGGCCCTGAGTGTATGTGGACAAAGGAGATTGGAGGAGAGGGCACAATCCCATTCAAGATGGATCCAGGAAATTTTGACCTGCTAGGGTTATTCGCAGCATGGAAGTCATGGAAGTTTGAGAAAGATAGGTGCTGGGGCTGAAGAATACATTTTTTTTTTGTATAGAAAGCAAATGAAGGATTTCTCTATTTTTTAAAAGCAGCAGACCGTCATACTTTTGAAATCATAAATGAAATAAAAACTGTTATTCTGAGCACCTTTTATGCATAAGACATTGATAACATCATCTATTTTTATATCACCCTTCTGTGCTTTCATGCATATCACAAATATGTATGAACCGAAACTGATATTAAACTCTCCTTTCTTTGTGTTGCCCAAATATTTATTAACACAATTTAACACATTCAGCTTTATATTAGAAGTCTTTAGAATTCAAGCTCTGTTTGCTCTGCACTACTCAACACTAAATTTTTCCTTAATTCTCATAATCATCAGGTCTTTGAATGGATATTTTGCCAGGAACATTAAGTCACATGTCTACTTCAGTGCCTAGGAACAGATTTCCAGCTCTGACTGATCATCTTTATTGTGCAGCAGGAGGAAAATAGATAGTTCCATTACACCTGCTGGTTCATGAAACCGCATAAATCATCCACTAATTATTTTTTTTGCCAGCAACATTTTAGATCCTACTGTTTGATTATTTCAAAAACACAATCCTCATTCAG